AACTTCAGTCTTTTCTCCATTTATCATGATGTTGCTTATTGGTCCAGTTGTGAGGATTTTTGTTTTCTTTATGTTGAGGTGTAATCCATACTGAAGGCTATAGTCTTTGATCTTCACCAGTAACTGCTTCAAGTCCTCTTCACTTAGAAAATTAACTGAATTGGGCCCTTTTCAATAAGATAGATACAACACCAATACTTTCAATAAACTTACCTAAATTTAAAATACCTTGTAGATGAAGCACAGCGTGTAGTTACTATAGATCCACACCGTATGAGCAGGCTTCCAAGCTTTGCCTCATTTATGCTACCCATCCTCAGCAAGAGCTGAGAAAAAGCTAAAGGGCATCTCATCCTTTCTGATTATGTAAAATGATCATGATTCAACCGCAGCAAATACTCCCAGCATTTGCATATTCTGCCATTCATCAGCCTAGTATTTTCACCTCTGAGCATGAATTTATTTTTGTTGGTTCTAATGGGAATTGTTGAGTCAGCTGAACAAGGACCACATCTTACACTATCTTCTATTTACCACTTACCCCAACCAATATAAAAATATCAATTTTTAGCAAGTTTCAAGTCTACTATAAACATGATTTCCAACTGGAAAAATTCTGCGTAATCCAACATTTTTCTGAAATTAGAAATACAGTTTCCTTTTATGAAGAAAATAATACCAGATAAAAACTTTCAGTAAAATTATCAATTCAAAAATATGAGTGCCAATGCCAAAAAATCTCTATTCTGTTGCTCTGAAATAGAAAATTTTTAACTGTTTTTATTTTCTCTTTAAAAACATTAAAGATATATTTAAGATGACACTGTATATATAGTTGATTCTTTTTGTTGTTGTTTTGCAGCTAAAAAGATAGATTTGGTGGAAATATTTCAAGAATCCTGGTAGGCCCAAGTCATTAGACTAAATAAAATATTTGTATTTGTTTTATAGACTACTTATTGCTTACTTATTATTTTTTTTTCACTCTTGACGAGCTCTCAATTTATTGGGAGAAGATTGTTTACACCTCTTTCTAGCCCTGACTATATCTAAGGGCTATGGGAATACACAAGTGAAAAGACTGATTAAAAATGGGGGGTGAGAATGGGTTAGCAGAGACATCCTAGGGAAGGCATTATTCTAGCTCTGTTGATATAGGAGCTTTCCAGATAAAGAGGAGGTAGCAGGAATCCCAGAAGCCCAAGTGGTGCAGTGGGTAAGCATTTAGCTGCTAACTGAAAGGCTGGCAGTTCAAATCCACCAACTGCTCCAGGTAGAAAAACGTGGCAGTCTGCTTCTGTAAAGACTACAGGCCTTGGAAACCTTATGGGGCAGTTCTACTCTGTCCTACAGGGTCACTATGAGTAGGAATCAACTCGGCTGCAATGGGTTTTTAGCAGGAATCCTGCAGAGCAGAAAGCATGTGGCGAGGCTTCCAATAATCAGTGGCCTCACTACAGAGGCGTGGGGGGTGTAGATCACACTGGCTCAACACTGTCATGGGGGTGACCTAAAAATGATTGTCTATAAAATTTTTGTGCAGTGTTTCAGCAGAAATTCATTATTTTTTATAAAAATATCTCTGTAGTTATTTACAACAACAAAAACATTTTTTGTAAGCCCAGCTTACATGTATCAATATACCTGCAAGGCTAAAACTCTGTCGCAATTTACTTTTTGAACCTTCTAATGTGCTCCGATCTGAGTTGTCATTATTACTCAATTACAATCACACTTTGAATCATGTGGCTTTGTCTGCATGTACTACAAGCACACAGTTGTTTTCATTGCTGCTGGTGTTTTAACAGTCACTGATTTTATCAAATTTCCTGGTGCTTTAGCTACAATATTGTGGTAATTAGTATTTGTGAACCCATATCAATAACTTTTTTGAGAATGTAGTAGTAATTAAAGGAAAAAAAGGAGAAAAATTTAAAAAAGTCTTCTGCTCAGTTACTAATAATGTTGCAATTCAATGTAGAAAGATTTTACAGAACAGTTTTGTTGTTGGTATTCATATAATGTAAGAAATATTACATTTAAGCAATTTACAACTATATTTATTACATATTATTCTATGATTAAAATTGACAGTGAACATTACTAAGAACTCTGTACAGTCTGGGGTGGGAGGAGGTCCATGGGGAGGAAGGCTGACATCATGAGTTACCACACTGGGTGACACCAACCCTAGTGATGCCACTGCCAGTAATGACTGGAATGTTGATAAGGACTCCAAATGGCAGGAGCACAGAATGCCAGGGATGGGGAGTAACGGCCAAGGAAGCTCAAAAAGCAATTCCACACCAATTCTATAGTATGCAGTACAAACATAAACAATGGGGACTCCCCAATTTTTTAAATAAGGGAACAGAATAACATTGTCAGATCTAGGTTTTAAGCAGGACCCTTTAGGAGTAGCAGAGATGACAAAAACAAACATAAGCTGTCAATCCAAAGTCACTGACATGTCTGTCCATCAGGTGACCCTGCTTTCAACAGAGCAGACCTAAAACCCAATAGCCTCATGGGCATAAGAAGCCTGTAAGAGTTGCAGGAAGGAAGTCAGAATCTGCTAGACTCCCCAACCTCCTGAGGAGTGAGGGAAAGTTTGGAACACTACATGCATTATCTCTGAAGGTGAGTACACAGATTACACAATATTTCTACCTTTCCAAGCTTGGCAGTAATACAAAAATGTGATACTCTTCACTCCAAGTAACTCACACCAGATGCTAATGCCCTTAGACTCTTCCACTACTTGATCTCACAAAATCTTTTCTTTCCAGAGGTCAGACACATGGAGCTTATTAAATCCAATTTACCACATTTTAACTGGTTAAACCTTTCTTTCATTTTTTTTTACCTGAGGTAAAATATATATAACATAAAATCTGCCATTTTAACCATTTCTAAGTGTAAAAATTAATGGCATTTAGTTACATTTACAATGTTGTGCAACCATCAACCACTATCTATTTCCACAGCTTTTTCATTTCCTCAAACAAAACCTCTACAATCACTAAGCAATAACTCCCATTTCCCCTCCTTTCAGATTCTTGTAACCTCTAATCTACTCTCTGTGTCTAAGAGTTTGCTCATTCTAGATAGTTTATATGAGCGGAATCATGCAATATTTGTCCTTTTGTGCCTGGCTTATTTCCCTTAGCATAAAATTTTCAAGTTTCATTCATATAGTAGCATATATCATTTATTACTTACTTATTAAGGTGAGCATAAATATATTTGAAATCACAAGCTTCCAAGTACCATAATTATGTGAAAAAAAACTACACATTCTTTTCTGAAAAGGTAGCTAATACACAAAAGTTTTCACACCAACATTCAGTAGTAATTTTCTAAGAAAATCAAGTTAAATAAAAGAAGTCAGAATTCATAAACTTATTACATGAGAAGTTCTGGGCAAAGCACCAAACACACCAAATGGAAAGTTTGATTTTATACAGGGAGTGTGAGAAAGATGCCTCGGTCATCTCAAGTGTTTGATGTCAGAGGTGAACAGATATGTGTAGTTTTATTTTGTACATCTGAGATTCTTAAAAGATTGGTGGAAAAACAGATTTCAAAATTCCCCCAAAACTTTTGGCACTATAGATAACCCTTCAGTTGCTGTAATAATCTTCCTAGATCCTCTCATTTAATAAACAGTTAAGTGAATCCAAATAATCAAGATGAAGGAGGTCAGGAAGAGGAAAGGCATAGGGAAAATGTCTAGAGTTTATTTTCTGCCTTACTTAAACTGAAGAAAATAAGATCATCCCATGAAATTGAGCTAAAATGAAACATGATTACAGAATTGAAGGTGAAGGTGAAAGATGTAATTCTTAACAGTTGCCTTCTCTTAGCATTTACACATTTACTGTCTTCTCTATAGAATTTTGTACTAAAAATTACTATTAAAATCTCAATCATCAAAAATACATTTATTAAACACAGGGTATAAATGGTAGTGCTACATATTATATAGTCCTGACCCAAAAGAATAAAATCTCTTTTTCAAGAAGTACTAAATCTAAGAATGAATAGTAGAACCAAAAAGAAAACAACTCATCTTCTTGTATAAGTCTATTCGTTTCATCTTGTGAACATTTTTTAATGTGGCATATGACAAATGAAACATAAATTATCCTTAACAAGTATGTTAAAATTATTTTTTTTGGAAGAAAATACTCAAATAAGATTTTAAAATCCATTTTTGGTCTTAAACGATGTATTCTAAACCACCAAAATGGACTGACGAGTTGACATTTCATTGTCAGAATTAAAAAATACTTACACTATTGGCTTTTCCAGGCGACTTCCCTGTGAACCAACAATCTCCCCCAATGTACAAAACACTTGTCCCAGAAAGTCCTAAAATAGATAAAAGGATTAAAGCTCATTCCCAAACCATGTTTCCACCATACTTTGTACATTATATTTACATTATTTTCACTGCTGCAATAATGAATTTTCCAACTTCCAAAAATAAAGTAAGCTCAACATGTACTAACTTTAGCATGTGATTTTCTCATGAATTTTCACAGCCTTTTTTGTGTTTTTAATCATAGAGATGCTTTGTTATTTGGAGTTTTCCACCATTGCATTTCTTTCTTTCTTTTTTTTTTTTTTGATTTTTTTAACTAAAATGAAAATGGAAAAATGTTCCAGGTTTTGAATTCACAATTGGCTCAACTTCGGATGTCTCTGAAACTACTAAATTGTTGGTTGTGATGACAATTTGTGAGAGCACACGACAGTGACAGCTAACAACACTGGCACTACTTAAAGAAATGTGGTATAATACAGTGGCAACAAGCTGGGGTTCAGAGACACTGCCAGGTGTCTATTCCAGCACTGCTACTTACTACCTGTAACCGTGGGCAATTATTTAAGGTCTACATTTTCTCATCTCTAAAATGTGTTAGTACCTCCTTGATAGAGCTGTTTTGAAGATTCAGTTAGAACATAGTAAGATCCTAAAAATGTGTTAACTATAATATATTATCAAGTTCTTTAACATACTACTGAATGATTCCTATTTTTAAGACTCAGAATAATCCTGCAAAATAAGAGGTGTGTTATTGCATTTCACACATACAGAAATAAATAGTCTAGAAGGTTGATTTTCCAAGTATTAAAAAGTCAGTAAATAGAAGGGCCAAGACTAATTCAGATGTTCTGACTCTAGATTGATATGCTGCTAAGAATTTCAATACCATAAATACAATGCACCTTTACAGGTCCACAAAATAACGGCTCGGACACCATACGGTTATATAGGTCAAGAAAACATGGAAGTGTTTCAAGGAGGGATATACACCCTCCTGTTTTGTTTATATATGATTCAAAGAACTGTTTTGTCCTCAAGGTGAAAGTAGCAGATCTCCCACCACTGTGCAGTAAACTGTCCCAGGAAAAGCCCTAAGAAGGATGGATTAAGACTGATAGGAAACAAAATGTTGTTTTTAATTACTAAACAAAATAAAAGTAAACAAATGTATTTGTTAACTGTGTAAGGCATTAAACTTCGTTCTGTGGGGAATACAGAGAAATGACTACTCGCAAGTAAAAACAGCTAACACTTACCAAGAGTTTACTGATGTTCCAAGTGTTGTTTGATGTGTTCTAATCCTGGCAACATCAATACTTCCTATCTCATAGTTAGGGACTAGTATTGTCCCCACTTTACAAATGAGGGAACTGAGGCATAAAGAAAGTAAGTAACTTCCTCAGAGCCACAATGTGGACCCAATAGTCTAAATCTAAGGCTTACACACGTAATCACTATGCCAAGTCATGTTGCTTCTCTGCTTCTAATCTAATGAGAATGAACCACAAAAGTCTAACATGCCACAAAAGTAAAATCGATGTCTTTCATTAAAAGGGGGGGGGTCTAAATCAAAAGAGAATAAAAGATCACTGGAGACTAACATAGTCAGGAATATTTTCCTAAAGGAAGTACACCTTGACAGCCAGGTAGGAATCAGATTGGTGGAGAGAAGAGAGTTAGACATTCTAGTCTTAGAGAATAGATCAGCGCTACAGGCAAGAATGTAATGATTAAAGAGTGGGACTCTAGTAAAGGGTAGAAATAAAGATAAGAGCTAAGACTGTGGAGGGCCCTCTCTGCAAGGAAAGGAAGTTGGACTATAGCCTTGGGGTACAGAGGCAACTGGAAGCCTTCCAGCAATGCAGGGTCATCATTAGAACAGTAATATCCAGAAGATGACTCAGGTACCAGTTTGCAGAATTAACTGAGGAATGTGAAAAAGAAACTAGATGTCAGGTCAACCAGAAACAATAGTAGTCAATAAGAAGCAAAATGTGAAGGTCCAAACTAAGGTTGTATCAAATGGTAGGGAACAGTGCAAGGAAAAATGACAGGGTTTGGTGTAAACTCTTTTTGCACATGGTGGGGATTGCAGGCAGGGGAGAAGGAGAAAGACAGAGAAAATGACTCTAAAACAGAACTTGGTGACTGACAGAATGACGATACCAACATAAAATTGAAATCGTTTTAAATTTTACTTTCAAATTGGAAAAAACGTTAACGTAAACAATTAACATATTTAAATTAAATATTCTTAATAATAACAACATGTCATTACCAATTTCAAAGGAGCAATGGTTAGCCACTTTGCTGCTAACTGAAAGGTTGGCGGTTAGAACCCACATAGTGGCTTCGTGAGAGAAAGACCTGGTGATCTGCAACCGCATAGATTACAGCCTAGAAAATCCTACAGGGCAGTTCCACTCTATCATATGGGGTCACTATGAGTAGGAATTGACTGCACGGCACTCAACAACATCAACAACACCACCAATTTAAAAACTCATTTTACAAATACGTTTATGGATTTATATTATAAAACAAACCTAAACATCCCTAAGTCTCATGGCAGCTCATAGAGCTCAACAGTGAGGATGTGGAATTTATCCTTGCTACTCTAAGGGTCGCTATGAGTCGGAATTGACTCTACGGCAACAGGTTTGGTCTTTTGGGTTATTCTAAGTCAGGTTCGCTATGAGTTGGAATTGACTGGACAGCAATGGGTTTGGGTTTGTTGGTTTATTCTAAGTCAGCTGCAAAAAACACACCCTGGGGATTCTAGAACTCTTTTCTCAGGATACATATATTGATGAATAGCTGAAAATACTACATATTGAATGGATTTGGCCAATGGAGCAACCAGTCTGAATAAAAGCAGTTCTGTGCTACAACTACTCTAGAGAACCAAATAAATACTGAGCATGTCCATATTAGGTTAGACATACAATAGAAAACAGAAAGAGAAAATATAAGCATCATCACTGCTGAACAGAAAGGAAATTAAAATAATTAAACTGGTGAAATGTGGACAAAAATGATACAGTGTGAATCTACACACATTATACTGTAGTTTTTGCACACTCAGCCCATATAATTGTGGCATTCATGTCGTTGTTTTACAACTGTATATGTTTGTGTGTTTCCTATCAAACAGCACATTTACTATGCACAAAGCAAAAACAGCTCATATTTGTCAGCTACCCATTGTGTTGGAAACCTCTATCGAATCCAATTTTAACCATCTCAGTGGCTCACATCTCCTATCTAGACATTTTAAACAGTAATTGTAATATAATTAATTGCCCTTTAATGGATATTTTTAGATATTTTGGGTTTAATTAGATAAAAATGAAAACTAAAACTAGTTATAATATAAACTGCTTTATTGGTTCTTGCTAAGGTGCTGTGTTCCAGTTGATAAGATATTATAATTAGGTCACAATAAATCCAGGCATCTTTCCCTAACTCTAACACACACACAGTCCAAATCTAGTTTAGAGTCGGTGGAGGCTGAAAAATGTTTCAACTTATTCAACCATTTTAATTACTGGACTCTCTCCAAACTAAGAGATCAATAGGTATTTGTTGAATTAATGAATTATTACTTTATAATGTAAATACTAGACTGATAAAACTTAGTTTAGAAACCTGTGCATAAACCATATTTGTTAGTAATCCAAAAATTACCCTGAATCCAATAAGCTGTTATTGAAGCTGAAAGACCTAACAATGAGAGACTAAAGGAACAAGAAAAAAGCAGAGAGCACAGCAATGCAAAGCATTATAACAATAATATGAGTTTCCCATCACATAGGTAGCAAAAAAAAAAGCATACCAGAAAATTAAACGGAGTGTTTGGGTGACCCCTGTAACTATTTAAAACTAGATTTACTACTAACATAACCCCCAGCTCAAAATCCAAGGAAACACTGCTACGCTTAAGGTTCCAACCGATTATTATACACTTTCATGTTTTTCTCCCTTTTTGATAAGGGAAGTGTCTATCTGTATGCATGAGCATACTATAACTCCTTCAATTTTATTACTTTATTATTTCTTCTGAATCAATTTTTACCAATCAGTTTCCTCCATCTACGTGTACTATATATGAATTTAAAATTTTATATTGTAGCTTGCAACTTAGTTGTCTATATTCATGAAAATCATATTACTGCTATGTGTTTTAATAACTCCACATGTATAATGTGGAAATTTACTTAGCAATAAATGAACTGGTTTTGTTTGTTTGCTTACTTGCTTGTTTGCTTGCAGGGTACCAGCATTAATGATTCCTATATATTATTTTTTAAAAATCTCCTTTCATTCATTCCTTTATTTTGCAAAGTAGTATAATATGCTCCTTAAGAGTGAGGATTACAAGGGTCTATCATGCCTATGTTCATACACTGGCTGAACCATTACTAATGTCTCTATGTTTCAGTTTCTTAATCCAAAAAATGGGCATAACAACCTCATAGGTTGTTGGGGGGACAAAATGATAAAATATCTGCAAAGCACTTAGAACAATGCTTGGAACATGTTGAGTCCCTCATAAACATTTGCCTCCCTGCTTTTCCCTATTCCTCAGCGGTTAATAGAGTATTACTATATACTCAGAACTTACTACTTGCTACCAGATTCCAATACTGTGGCTACTATAATTATTTGAATAAAATAATATATTTTCAACAAATGCTCACTTTAAGTGTCTTTACAAAATTGGAATTTGTCTTATACACCAACTCGTTGTATACATAAACTAATACACCTGTAAACATAGATGTGTAAAAGAATAAGTTTAAAAACAATAGTATGATAAACCAGGAAGCATTAACTGTAAGTGAAGTTTATGATTTCTATACTATTACAAAGCTAATCAGCACATACAGGTTATCATCAGCATCATTCATAAACAATTTCAAAAGCATTCAATAATGTGGCATCTTTCTCCTAAAAGGTCTATCAGGATAATCTTTAAATGTCTTTCTTGTTTTATAAAGTGATCAATGAACATCTGAAAATATCATTCCCCTACTTAATA